ACAAATTACAGATAAATGTTCAAACAAAAGTTCTAAGTGTAATATGCTATTAAAAAAATTGATCATCGTGGACTCTGACTTGAACTCTGATACCATTATTGGAGAGAAAAATTTGGACCACTCGGGAGAAGATATATACTCTAATTTTATCTTAAACATATAAATGGTTATGCATTGATTTATCTGTTCCACAAATATCTATTTAGTCTGTTATATATTTTTTCAAGTATTTCCAGTGTGCACGGCAATTCTTCAAAAATATTTACTACTACGGGAATCTCAAACAATAACATTACATTTAAAGTTGAAACATAATAAATCATGATTATGATCGAAATAACATATATATAATGGTAGCATACGCTTCAGTCAAACTTTTATTTCTACTATTTAATTAAAAACATTTCAAATGATAATTGGATTTTCATTTTGAGGAAATTTATTACAACATTTGTCATATCCAATTTGGTGATAAATGAATCTTATAATCAAACTTGTGGATTAATATAGTAGATCCTTTTTATATATTGTAGATAAATAAACAAGGAAAAATTGCTTCAAGGCCCTAAATTCCAAAAATAAATGTGCCCCAGCCCCTCCTATTTTTATCAATGTGCTGCAGCCCCTACTTTTTGAAAAAATTCATGCCAGCTCATGATTAGACAAAAGTCCACCTAAAATCCCAATTTTACCCTCTTCTCTTTCTCATGCCAGCTCATGTCAGCTCGTGTTAACTATTATAGTTAACATGTTAACTATTATAGTTAAATTGATAACTATTATAGTTAACATATTAACTATTATAGTTAACATGTTAACTCTTATATATAAATAACAGTTAACATGTTATGTATAACAGTTAACATGTTACGTATAATAGTTAACATGTTACATAACGCAATCAACATAAATTGTAAGTTTATAACAATAAAACATAACGCAATCAACCAATATCTTTCTCTTCATCTCTTCCCAATAACACCAACATCTAAAAGCAAATCAAAGCAAAAACCACAAAGCAACGTTCCCCCTCGGGGCGTTCAGGTTGCTCCCCATCGCTTGGAGCTGCTTCGAGGCGGACCACGACCGGGAGACGCTCCACGAGAGCGACCTGAAGTGCCCCCTCCTCGGCCCCTTCGGGGCGACGCTCGCGGACCTGGTCGATGCCGTCGCGGACGGCGTTGCAGACATCGAGGGCCTTGACGGCGCAATCGATAGGGTCCTTAGAGAGGAGGGGCCTAGAGTTGAAGAGGACGACGCGGAACACCTCCTGGCAGAGGAGGAAGGCGTCGAGGAGGCGGCGGACCCAGGAGAGGGAGATGAGTTCTTGGGAAGAAGGAGATGAAGGAGGAAGAGGAGAAAGAAGAAGTGTTATTTTGGGGGAGATGACGGTGATTTGGGGAGGGGTAAAATTGGGTTTTTGGGAAAACATGAGCTGGAGTCATGATGAAGGGGATTGGGTAATTTTTTTTCAAAATTTTGGGGCTGCAGCACATTACAAATAATGTGAGGGGTTGGGACACGTGACTCTTTGGGTTTTGGGGCCTTAAAGCAATTTTTCCAATAAACAATTGATTTGCGATTTTAAAAAATAAAAGTTTGTGAGAAATTAAGGATGCAAATACAAGCGCTTCATGACAAACTGACTACAGAGTAACAAATTTAGATTTTAAAATTAAAAACGTTTTTTTCACAACATAAAGATATTCAAAAGATGGACTTGAGACTAAATTTTGTAATAAATTGTGAATAAAACATCTTCTACCTATAATACATTTTTATTTTTTGTAGAAACAAAAAGATGGAGATGCAGGTTATCACTTCCCCTGGTAAATAGCGATAAAGATGATACTCCTCCATTGAGCTATATTCTCAGTTGTTGCTAGTAAAGTTTTTGCTACTTATTTATTATCTTCACTTTGTTAATGTAGTTTGCTAAAACAATCCTCAATCTATTATTTAAAAAGAAAAAGGAGGAGATGTTGTTACTTATTTATTATCTACATTCTTTTAATATATGTTGTTAATATAATCCGCAACATTATATTCAAAAAGGAGAAAGTGAAGATGCAAAAGAAAAAAGTGGGGATGATGTTAGTTATCTATTATCAACACTGAGAAAATTTATTTTTCCATGATAATTTTCAATTTAGTATTCGAAAAGAAAAGTGGAGATGTGTGAGCTATCGATCCCCGATCATTATTAGCTTAAAGTGCTAACATTCTTCCATTGAGCTCCATCTACAATTGTTGGTAGTAGAGTTTTTGTTGCTTGATTGTTAGCTTCATCCTATTAATCTACTTTGCTAACATAATCATGAATCTGATATAAAAAATGTAAAAAAAAAGGAAATGTAGGGTATCTATTGATCCTTAATCATAATTGTTAATAATAATTTACTTAATTATTATTTTCACTTTGTTAATGTATTTTTCTAAGGTAATTACGAATTTGATATTAAAAAGGAAAAAATAGAGATGCGGGGTATCAATCCTTAATCATTAACTTAAAAGGCTAAACACTCTTCCATTGTGCTACATCTCCAATTGTTAGTAGTGGAGTTTTTTGTTACTTATTTATTATCTTCACTTTGTTAATGAATTTTGCTAAGATAATCAGGAGCCTGATATTAAAAAAGTAAAACAGGAAGTGGAGATTCTGGGTATAGATGTCTAATTATTAGCTTAAAAGTCTAAGGGTGTGTTTGGCAACAAGTTAAAATTGGGTCAGGACTAAACCTGGCCCAATTTAATTTGTTTCTTGTTTGTCAAATTTTTATGCCAGAGATGACCCAATTTTTTTAACTTAAATAGTGCTACTAAATCAGTTTTCTTTTAAACCAGGGGGGTCTAGTCCAAAAAAAACTGGTTTAGTACAAAACTGGGCCAGGACTGGTCTTGGCCCAGCTTTGTTCACTTTGTCAAACACACCCTAGGACTCTTCCATTGAGCTAAATCTCCAATTGTTAATAGTGAAGTTTTCGTTACTTATTTATTATCTTTACTCTATTAATGTAATTTTCTAATATATAGAATCCTCAATCTGTTAAAAAAAGGAACGGTTAGGTTTGTATAAGCATGTGTACTCCCTCAATAAAAAACAAGATAAAATCTGTAATACAATAATAAAGTAAATCCTAATATGAGTCAAATTAATGATCCCACCTATGAAGTAAAATGATTGTATTTTTATAAACCTCAACACATAAATTCTCTCTCAAACCCATTCAAATTCATTCTCAAGTCATGACCCCTTTGCTACAAATGCATCGTAAATGTACATGTATAAGATACATAGCAAGGCCCATAATTATCTGTAAAACTCAAAGATTTTTTACTACTAGATAAAAGTGCGACTTTATCTCTTAAAAAAACTTTACTATGTACAACGATGTAATCTATTCTATGGGAATTCAAAAATATGAAAGTTTGACTAATATGGAAATCTATGATATTATAAATTTGTATAAAGTTAAGGTAACTATCAAAATCTATAATATATAGTATATTAAAACTATATATAAGCTTTGGACATCATTTTACAAAGCAAATTCAAAACATTGGAAAAATATGTGCAATGCATGTGCGATGTACTAGTCTGATTTAAATATATATATATAGAGGGACGGAGTATCGATTAATTCCATTTGTTGTGCTATATCTCCATTTGTTTGTACTGGAATTTTTTGTTACTTATTTATTATCTTCACTCTGTTAATGTATTTTGCTAAGATGATCTCAATTCTGATAGTAAAAAAGAAAAAAAAATGTAGATGCATGGTACTGATCCCTGGTCATTAGGGTGAGAGGCTAGGACACTTCCACTGTGCTACCTCTCCAATTATTAGTAATAGAGTTTTTGTTACTTATTTATTATCTTCACTCAGTCAATATTGATAATAATTAAATAAAAATTGGAGATGCGGGACATCTCCGGCTGTTAGCGATGGAGTTTTTGTTACCTATTTACTATCTTCACTCTGTTAATTGGTTTTGCTAGCTAACATAATCTCGAACCTGATATATATAAAAATAAAAATAAAAATACATGGCATCAATCATTAGTAATAAAGACTGATATTCTTCCGCCACAGCGGTACATCTCGAATTAATTTTTATACCCACAATTATTTATTCTATCTACGGTTACGCCGCATTTATTCCGAGCCCGGAAGTGCATCATCGCCAAAATCAGCCACCTAGCGTGCATTCGGTCCAGAGACGGCTCGGATATGATGCTTATCATATTCATATATGCTTACCCATTTCGGATACAGATACGAATACGGATACTGATATACATCGGTCAAAAAATTTATATATCCATATCCGCTAAAATCAAATACGGTTACGGATATAGATGCGGATATATAAGCGGATACAAAATGGATATGAAAAAACTAGATAGTATTGTGAAAAACATAGTTCGTGTGATATAAAAGAGGTCGTTAATATGTTCATTATAACTAAAAAAACTAAGATTAGACATCATGATCATTAAAATTAACCACAAATCCATAATTTAAAAAGCGAAACTATTATACGAGTATGACTAATATGTATTCGGATATTTCAGTTACGGATGCGAATATTTTACTATAAAATCATATCCGTGATCATATTCTATCGGTTATAAATTTGAGTGACCACATCATTACCCTAATAGATATGGTTACGGATATTTCCTCGAATACGAATACGGTTTAGCTCCCTTAGAGCCACCCCTTCTGATCCTCACACCTCTACTCTTATTGACACGTAGCTGTCCACGTGGGAGCCGACGGCGGTCTAGGTGATCACATTGCAGCCGTGACAAAATCAGTTTCATGTAGTCTCCCCATGCAAGCCCACACGTGTACCATTGGTGTAGAGCGTGCGTGTCAAGTGTCAACTTCTTTCTCGATACTACTTCATTATTTAAATAACTGACTCACCTTTTAAGAGAATTATATTACGCTTTTTTTCTTTTAAGAGAGAACTCAGAGAGCGTAAGGGTTAAGATGACGGACAGGAACGCGGCGATGGAGACGGCGGCGCCGAAAGCTCCGGTGACGGCGGAGAGGAGGCTTAGAGGAGACCTTGAAGATAAAATCCCTAAGGCTTGTTAGTACTATTTCTGCCTTCTAATTCTTTTTTTGGGGTTTTTTTTCTCATATTAGATTTACATTAGACCCCAAATATTCATACTTGGTATTTGGAGAATTATTTAAAAAAGATTTTTTTAAATAATTAGCAAACTCGACTCGATCTTTTTCTTGCCGGCTAAAAGAGGTATAAAATATCAACTTTAAAATATATGAGAATGGTAGTCTCGTGTAATTAGTTCTTGTTAATTAAACTTTAATCATTTCAACACAAAGTATAACCGTAATTAGCGACTACTAGTTATACGGAACTACTAATTATACGGGACTACTAGTTCCATATATTTTAAAGCCGATAGTTTACAAAATCGACCTCTTCTTAGCCAGCTGAGATGATGTGACCAAAAAGAAGTTGATTTTGCTAAATATTTTCAAAACGGGTTGATTTTGCTAAAATTTTTCACAAATGGTCTTTTTTTTTTAATTCTGCTTGTAATTTACATACCTAGTCCATTCTGATATTTTAAACTACACCCCAAACCTCTGTTTTAACAATAACACCCCCTTTTTAGACAAATATGAAGACTTGGGGATGTAGTATAATCATGGAAGAAAATTTAGAGTCTAATATGGGACCAAGGGAGGGGACAGGGGAGGTGTCCCCTCCCTATTGTATAATGAGTTGGTCATGTTAACTCATTATGCAATAGGGAGGGGACATGTCACATGTCCTCTCCATTGGTCCCATATTTTGGGTCCTTCAATTATTTCCCGTTCTAATAATAGTATTCAGATCGAATTTGGACTTAGAACCTTAAATTTTTTAATTGCATTAATTACTCTGATCAATATGTTTTGGGCAAGATCTCAATAACGTATGTACCGCTTTTCTTGACTAGCAATTAATGGCAGATTAATTTTCTTTATTAGGTGCCTTTCTTTTTTCTTTTTGATGAAAAATGCGGTTAATGTACCCATTTTTATATTGAAAAATGTGATTATATCCTTTTTGGTACATCAGTTATCTTGTAAAATAAAATCTTTTTGAGTACCAACGTATATATACATCTAGTAATATCAGAATGCAACTCTCCATTTCTTATTGATCTTGTCTAAATTAAATTAATTGTTTCATTATTGTTGTTGTTCATCTCTTTATCCAGATATGGCTAGAGCAATGGCAGCGCCAGACGCTCATCATCCAGAGGGATCCAGAGACCATGATCCTCGTGGTATGAGTGTTCTTCAGCAGCATGTTTCCTTCTTCGACAGAAACAATGACGGCATCATCTATCCATGGGAAACCTATGCAGGTAATTAACAATATTAATCAATAAACACCCTCCCGATTTATATACTCTTTGATGTTATGGACAATGTGATTGCTCTTTGAAGTTGGCGTTACCGTAATTCTATTACAAATTATTTCAATAATAGACTTGATGCGCGGTTATAATTAATAAATTGTGGTTCGTATGCATGACACGGTAATTTTCCCTTTGAAACTTGGGTTTTCAGGGTGTAGATCTATCGGCTTCAACCCGTTACTTTCTTTGTTCATGGTGGTTCTTATTAACGGGAGTATGAGCTATTCTTCACTCCCAGTAAGTTTTTAACACCTGATTAGAGAGAGTAGCCCTAATTTTACTGCAAATTTCCCGTACTATTTTGGTACTGCAAGATACACGCGATAAGAAACTCTTGAATGACAATTAGGTCGTGTCTCTTCACTATACTAATGTATTAGTTATACATCATTTGGTGTTTTCATAGAGTTGGATACCTTCTCCATTGTTTGCTATCTACATCAGCAACATACACAAAAACAAGCATGGGAGTGACTCTGGAACTTACGATCCCGAGGGCAGGTAATAAATAATTTTTGAGATGTGCATCCAAAAAAAATTGGCAAAATCGGAAACGAAAACATATGGTGATTAATCAATAGAAGAATTTTGTTGCGTCGTTATGAATTAGGTTTGTCCCCTCCAACTTTGAGGCCATTTTCAGCAAGTTCGCTAGGACGGTGCCTGACAAGCTCTCTTTTGGTGAGATGTGGGAGATGACAGAGGCCAATCGATATGCTTATGATTTCTTTGGATGGTACGTAAACTATGTTCGCTCGCTAGACATGATTAATTTCTAGGAAACGACGCGTTATATCTTTCTGTCATTTACAAGCAAGTGATAGCTTGCGGGCGCTGCTGTGAATGTTATGCGTTGCAGGATAACTTCAAAGCTGGAATGGATATTTCTGTACATGCTGGCGAGAGACGAAGAGGGTTACCTATCGAGGGAGGTCATCAGGCGCTGCTTCGACGGGAGCTTGTTTGAGTACTGTGAGCAGCAGAGAATAGCTCATGACAAGAAAATGTTGTAGACTCCCACCCCCCTCTAAATTTCTCAAGTAATTTGGTTCTGTGATGTTGGGGTTAATTTATAAGTCTGTGTGTGCGTGTGTAGCTTGTATGTGCTAGCTCAATAAATCCCACAGCGCCGAATGTGAACGTACCAATGGAAGAATAGTGACGTTAGAACTGAAACAGCTGACTCTTTCCTTGCAAATTATTAGATAAGCAACGATTATAATAAAAAGTATTGGTTTTTAAGTTTTTATTAATTAACATCGTGCAATTTTGCATAGGAAAATGTTTTGAGCAAATTCTGACCTCACGGGGACATACAATTTAAGCTTCTATTGACATCGTTGCGATCTCTGAAATGAAATCTTTAAAAAAACTGCGCATACCCGAACAAGAATCGCAAGTGCGACGTCTGGAAATCCTAGGGGCAAATTATCCTTTTGATCCTTACATCAGCCGGATAACCTCTTTCAACAATCTACTTTATAAAATAAAATAAAATAAAAAAGAAACTAAATTTCTGTAAACAGAGCATTCAAAATTCCTTGAATAATCAAGGGAAGAACTTGTCCATTGTTCCATGTACCGAGAATAATTATATCAAACGCCGGAAGGAAGCGGGTGTTGATAAGCATTCCACCAAACAATTCAAAACTCCTCCATTTGCTCCTTCATCAAGCTACCTGTCTTTGTTCATCTCACAATTACTGCTGCTGATGTACCCTCTGGATGTAGAATTTAAAAGAGGAAGTCAGTCTGTTAATTCTACACAATAAACCATCATTAGCTAGTTACTTGAAGGTACACATTTTATTCTAGTAGTTGCACGATCTGGGACAAGGAAACTGCCTTGTTTAGGTCTAGTAACAAAAAAATGAGCCTAACTCCTTACTATGATTTAACTTGAATTGGGTCCAAACAACGAGTTAAGATGGTGCATGTCAGGATCAAACTTGACTAGACATACTCGTATTGGCAAAATGCTGGTTGGAAGATTGTTAACAAGAACCGACCAGTTTATGTTGGTTGCAAGATCTGAACACGTAACAGATTGTATAAGAACTCTGTTACAATGGCGGGCTACTCGATACAAAAGATGTCTATACAAAGGTAGAGCAGCAACAAAGCTGAATGCGGGCAGTGCAGTGCACACAAAAGAGAACAACGCACAAAGATATGTGGTCCAATCAGTATTCTGACCTATGTTCGGCAGAGACGGAAAGGAGAATTCGCTAATGAACGAGGAGATTACAACATAGAAATCACTCTCTAATCTTACTCACTAAGCCCAGATGTTACTTCCGCAGTCTTTGTCCCCATCATCATCACCCTTTTATAGGAATTAGACAAAAAGGTTTTCATAATAGCTGAAATAATGGTTGGTGGAGTAGTTTGGCTTCAAACTTCACACTTGCGAAGTGTGGAAGAGGAGAAGTCCAATTTTATTTTGCCTTCAAGTCATCGTAACACAGCCAGTTCATCTCATTTACCAGTTCATCTCATTTACGGGTTAATCGAGTATAGACCAACCTGTATATCGTTGTATTGAATTCACTACCCCGGATTTTGAGAAGAGGAAGGTTCACGTGCAGCCCACAACTAATAGTCAGCTACCAGAATAAACATATTGGAGGTCTATCTGCCAAGATGAAACTACAGTGCAGTAAGTTCAAAACAACAATACTACAATGGTTCTATGCATAATTACCCTTTATTTCATAATCAATTTGATTAAAGATCAAACAATCCCAAATACTAGCCAATCTCAAAACTGGAGTTGTATATTACACGTGCTAAGATAGGTCGAGCTTTTGATGATCCAAACCTGCCCTCAATGAGCATGAGCCTGATAATTTCATGTCAGGTTCAGATTGATTCGCAGATAGCAATACTATCCTACAAATCTTGTGTTTTCTCCCATGTTGTCAAGGTGAATCAAAGATGTCCTTCCATGAAGCCCTCTTTCTTCATCGGACAAACAAAATTATTGGAATGTATGGATGACGGAGGATATGTGCAAGTTGCAGGATTTTGGACTTCAAAAGCACTGCTATCTAGTTAACAAATGTATGAATATATTATTAGATTAAATTAAGCTAAGGCATTGCAGCAGTTATTTTCTATTATTAAGTATTAGATATTAGTACAATTCTTGAAAGCAGAAAAAATAAGGAAAGGAAAGAAGGTTAGACATCAAGCCAATTCTTAGCTGCTTAATTAAAGTGTACTTACTGCTACGAGTTCTGTCACGGCATAGTTTGCTTCCACATGAACATCTGAATGCTTTTATCGGATGATTATGATCAGTAAAATCAATACCATAATCCTGCAAAGAAAAAAAAATTCAAATTATTAAAAAGAAATCATGTATACAATAAAAGAGATTATAGTGTAAGGTTTATAAGTTAATCATACCCACAAAAGGAAACAGAAACTGTGAAACTTTAGATAACTGTATATAACATCTACAGATCCCAACTGTTTTATAGCATAAACAAAGTAGATAACTGGAAATGAGTATAAACATTTTAACTTTACCTGTTTGCTTACCTTTTAGGCTAAACACAAGACTATTATACCTATTTATATAAGATGAGAGTAAAGGTAAGGATTTTATACACATGTATATAGAAGAATAAGGGTAACTCTGTTCAATTATAATTAATTATAACTATAGGTTTTGAAGTGGTAAACGAGGATCAGTGTTACTTTAATTCAAGATGTTTATTACACCTTTAGAAATCACCCGTGTTACCTGGGTACTTCTAATATGGAGCCGTACCCATACCTGACATGTGTCACACCCGTACACCCGTACCCATAATGGTATTCGACACTTCTTAAATATTTGCATATATTTATTCAAACATGTAGTCAATTATGCAATGCATGTTTAATGTAAAACACTCGTCATACACTTCTTGCAAGTATATATCCTCGCATCCAATTTTGTAACTTTGTGGATAATGACCGAGTTTGTTTCAGCCTTAAGAGCTACAACTTAAAAGGGTAGTCTACAAATATAGCTCAGAACTATGATTATATCCCATGAGTTTCAGCCGTGTCCATGTACCCTGCCTTTTACAAATCTACCATGTATTGCACACGTACCCATACCCGCACCCGTACCCATGCAACTTAGGGGGTGTTATTCAATTGGGACATTTTCATGCAAAATGGGATAATTGTTAAAGTGGAATAATTTTTCGCTAGTGGGATATTTTAGTGGGATAAATAGGAACAATTTTGTGAAGCGGAATATTTTGATAAAATAACGTGGGATAAATTTTTATAATCATGAAATATATATTTATGCATTTTGAAGATATAAATACTATTTATGTATTTTAAACTTACTATTATTGATTGATAATTACTTACAAGAATGTTCTTTACTATTAAATAACTTTTGGTTTGACTATAAGATATTGACAATTATTATTATAATGATGGTCTAATGATGGTGATAACCATAATAGGAAAGAAGTAAAGAAAAAAAGAAATATAAAAAATAACAAAATAACAAAATAAATATGAGTTCTAGTTTTTTACCACCTAGTTCCAAGCTAAAACTTGGAATAATTTGATAGAGTAGAACTCTCATTTTTGTATAGAAAAATAAAAAAAATAGGATAATTTTGTACCATTATCCCAATTCTAGTTTTGTTAGAGTTCTACTTGACTAACACTGTAAAATTTTGTTCTAGTTTTAGTTCTATGTGACTAACACCTTAAAAATTTATCTCACATATTATCTCAGTTCCAATTTTAAGTTCTAAGTGACTAACCCCCCCTTAGGAAATCAGAAATTTTTATATTCAGTGATTTCAGCAAAAAAAAAATTTCAAACCACCTTCATAGTTGTCTTGGTTGTAAATTAAGAGACAATAAGTATAGCTGTAACAGTAAAGATGCTAAGAATAGTCAAAAAGTACCAAAAACAGGAGAGGGCAGAATATAATCTCCGTTTTTTACATAATAGTTCAAACTTGAATTTACTTGAAAAAAAAATTATTGAAGGATAAAAGTTTGTTCTTTTTAATGTTTTCCACCATTTTCCATAAGAGGAAAAAAAAAGGAGCTTTTGCCTTTAGCATTGGACGGGTAATTTATACCTATTAGGATAAGGGAAATCATTCAGTCTATATGATATCTTAACCTGCAAACAGGATTCAAATGTGCCACACTTCTCTCATCTGAGAAACCATTGACCAGATTCTCAGTAGATACACCCTGTCAGTCTAGAACTCTCAGTCAGTTGTATAATAGGAAATTATTATTTATATTTATTACTTCTTTTCAAGTCTTGCTATAGTGAAAGTTGTCCATTTCATAGCTAAGATGGCTGTCCATTCAGAGTATCAAAAGTAAATTGAGCAAGATGGATAAAAAAGCAACATCCAGTAAATATGCACAATAGAGCCAGTATTATGTGCTGTCTATTGCAAAAAAGAAAGGTAAATAAACTACAGCTATATTTTTTTTAGTTCGTACAAACAATCAATAAGCCAACATACTTAAGTTAGGTTTTAAATACATATTAAAGATTCTTGAAACATGGTTAATAACCAAGTGAAACAACAGCATGACACCAGAGTACTGTAAACAAGTGAATAAGTATTTGAAAGTTGATATTGGTTATACAATTTGTACCCACCCAACATAGTTCCTCCTTGGCTTCCACTTTCCTAGTCGTGAAAAAAGCAACCTGCAAAAATTAAGATGCTTGCATGAGTTCACAGAATAAAAATATCCCCGGGACTAAAGTAAAGCTAGTGAGATGGCATACATGATAGTAATGATGGTCTGGTGTTTCGATTTCAACTGGAATCTCAATCAGATTTGCATCACAACACCTAGAAAAGAAAAGGGAGAGTAAGAACAGAGTAATAGGAACAAAGGAAGATTGTTGTTACATCACATAAAAGTGGTCATACATGACAAACGTAGAAAATGGAAGATATTGGAAACAAACATTGCAACAAGGAAAAAAATTAACAAAAAATAAGAGCAACAATTGAAAGAAAAAAGAATAAATAATGAAGCTTCCAATGCCGTGAAAAAAAACTATTTGCAATCCAAGACTGTACACACAGATAAAAGTACAGCTTAGTAAACGTGTGGAGATCGTTGAAGTCATTTACCTTAACTAGAAACATATGGCAGACTATCAATAGGAATCTCTTGGATCTCAATCCTTGCGGTCTTCCTTTGTTAATATAATTCAGGTCCACGTTATGAAGGAATAAACTAAACTTCAGTAAAGGCATGCGTGTAGCCGAGATTTACTTATCCTAACTGGAACTATTAGTTGATTATCATGAGAGTGTTTGGCCACAAATATCAAGACAGTTCGTGATTAGATCATAATTAAGAGAGTTAATTGCAGATATACCCCCAAACCATAGGCCAATCATTTGATGAGTATAGCTTGATCGAGTTAAACTAATGACTACTAAAAAGCAAAGAATAATTTGTAGACTCCTCGATGTACCTTATATGCTATGGTGATAATCTTTGAATTCATGGCACAAATGGCGATATGGTTTTGTTTCCTGCTCCCAATTAGCTATTGGTCAACCGTTAATTTCTGGTATATTCTCCTCTCTCATTCTTGGTTCACCTGTTGGTAAGTTCTCTGCCACACTTCAAGTTCTTTTTTCTGAAAAGAAGCGGATGATCTCCAGTAACTCCTATTAAACATAAAGACGACCTACAATACTAGTTTGAAAGTCAGGCATTTAGCTATTAAGTTGATTTGAATATAGATACTTAAGAAATATGAAAGCATGAGATGTTTAAAAGGGAACACCAGTAACTCCTATTCAATATTAGTATGCCTCCCCAATGACTTGACAAAAAATAAGGAACACTTTGAGAATGTTATTTTCTTTTCTTTTTCTTCCTTTTTTTGGGGGCGTGTGCATGGGTAAGGGGGTGGGGGTGGGGGCATTTTAATAAATATCAAGATTTGGGTGTAGTTTAATAAATATGGATGACTTGGGGAAAGGTAAATAAACACGTGAAGAGGCAATATAGGTCATCTGAAAGGGACACACACACACACACACACACACACACACAGAGAGAGAGAGAGAGATTTGTTAGAGATGTAAACATGTTGGGTAAAACAAAGAAGATACAGAGTTGATCTAGAAATCTGTTGTATTTGTTTATTTTTTTCATTAAATGGTCCCTTTCAAGTATTGAATCAATATTCTAGTTAAACAGAAATGGCACGCACAAACATCAAATAAGACTATTTATTTGATTGTCGTGGAAAAGCATAAAAACAATATACATTAATTAATGGACTGAACCTTCCGTGTTAACACATTCTTGATTTAGAAAAGGGGAAAAAATAAAATACATGGTGTGTGATTCCTAATAGGTTTTGGTGTAGAATGTATCAAAATATTCTAGACTATTAGATACATTTTCAAATATCGCAACTAGTTTCCTGAAACTTAGACACATGGAATTTATTGCAATCTAAATAATATGCAAATTTGCAAAAACGTTTTGGACCAAAGAATATGGTGAATCTGTATTTGATATATAAATATTGAATGTCTATACCTTGTTCAATAAGTAAAAAAATTTAGAACAGAGTTCCAGAGATAATTTGAGTAAATTAAATATGAGCTAGCATCCAACTCTTAGTGTAGGCAACTTTATACTAGTTTATATACAATATACAGAAAATCAGATGAGCATTTGCCTCTGCATAGAGCTGAAGACAAACAAAGATTTCAATACAGATGAAGTTTCTCTAGAGAAAAGGAAGTGATAGCAAAACCTTTAATCGTGTAACCCTAAAACCACTGCAGCTCTATGTGAACGAACCAAACAGAGAAAGAACCTACATTAACCATTTAAGCATAAATAGCTGATGTATCAAACTATACATCAGAAGAAATAATATTCCTAAGCAAGATACACCCCATGATATCAAAAGAAAGTTTCTTAAATAGGTTACCTATGGTTCATAAACCTCGCAACATTACCATAATGTGTTGCATCTAAACAAAGTGCATCTTCATCCTCAAGAATTCCCTCGGCTGCCCAATCAGCATCAAGCAAGACTGGGTATGTATGCTTCTCATTGCGAGTGGCACATGCTGTCCTTTCATGAAGCTCCATGTTTGTTAGTATCTCACCAGAATATTCACACACAAAAGTTCCTTTAGGAAGCTCATCAGGAGAACGCAACCCCCATCCCTTTCTTTCACCAGTATAAAACACCTAAAAGAAGGGGAGGGATCTTATGATTTATAAATAGAAGTGCACCAAATCTAACAAATTATGATGAATACAATCATGGACTGAACTATGGTAGTATGGTTTTGCCAAAGTTTACTCGAAAGAAGATTAAAGGTATAGTTTTCAATTGTTAGTGAGAACTTTATATTGACATGGTTTAAGACACCCAACAACTTCATAAATACACAATCCTGAGACATTCCATTACCTCTAAGTGGCATCTTATCCCTCGTTGCACGACCCGATTTCCGCATATCCTACTGCATCCGCACTTCGTCCAACACTCTTTGATAAATGTCCCAATTAGATGACCTTTACATTTTTCAGGCTTGGCCTCATTTTTTATTCTCTCAACTGGACAGATTTGGCAAAAGTGAAGGTGATGTTTTTGTGTGCGCCTATACTTAGCAATAAAAGAGTCCAAGAAAGCCTCTTTAAGCAATCCTTCAGATGTGTAAGCATACTCCCCACCTGTTTCTCTTGCACAAGCGCAAGGTATTGACGCCTTCAAGCAATCCCCATAGCAATCTGCACAGCAATATTCATCCCCAATTCGAGCAAGAGAGATAGGTACTGATGCTTTCTGATAAATAACATTATGTCGGATGTAGTGGAAACTTGGAAATTCATTCTGAACCTCGTCATCACATATTAACGGGATTCTATGCCTCTCCTGACCATTGGTTATGTCCCTGGGGTTTACCAGTCGCTTTACATC